ATGTCTATTATACTAAAACTTAATTTACTTCAGAAGCAAAAATTCATTTCATGAGTAAGAAACTTCTGCTTGCGTACTTTTAGAAGACTGAAAGTTTCTTGATCATATAAACTATGTGTTGATGCCGTGAAAAGATTTGTGACAGGAACTAGTGACAAATCTGAAAGGATATCGAACAATTAGTGTCCGTACTGCGGTTATAGAATTGAGAATTGCAATTGAGGGTGATGATCTCATCGGATGTCATTTTTTACTTCCGAGGTATCGTCATTTTTTCGAATTTGTGTTACCTATAGGTACTATTAGAAAATATCCCACTGGCATTAAAGGAGCAATGTGGTTCATGTACAAAGGGGCTCTACCTCACTTTAGCATGATAGCACGTCAATCTCTGGATGCAAATCAAGGAGAAGACTGGATCGGTCGCGCAGGTCATAGCCACTCTGGTCACTGGATTTAAATCCTTTAGAGCTCTTACTCTGTGGACACTTGAAGTCCCTCGTTTATAAAATTCCAGTCAACACTGAAAAATAATTACTACAACGGATACGGGATTCACGTGATCAGATTAGACATTCGCCGGAACTATCTAAAAGAGTTCGGCACACGATGTTTAGACGAGGTAATGCTTGCATAAAAGTTGGAGGACAGCTCGAGCAGTTCTGAGTATATATGTGAACCACTTGCATATATCATCAACAAATCTGTGGAAGACGACATTTTTTCAGATATTTTGAAAGTAGGAAAAATTATTCCTCTCTTGAAAATAAATGATCCCTTGTTGATTGACAACTACCGCCCAATAACTATTCCTAGTGTGTTGAGCAAAGTAATTGAAACATGTATCTATGAACAACTACTTCCTTTCTTAATGAAACAATGTAATTAACAAGTGTCAAAATGGATTTTGCCCCGGTAGATCGACGGAAAGTGGAACTACAGCTTTTTTGGAAAATATCTACAGAGGAATTGACAAAAGAAAGTTTGCCGCACTCTTCTTCGATTTATCAAAGGTTTTTGATTCTATAAACTTAATATACTGGCCAAGAAACTTAGTGCAATTGGAATCCGAGGTAAATTTCTATCTTTGATTATGTCTTACATGAAATTTCGAAATATGTACGTAGAATGGGATAATGTAAACTCGAATACTTATGACTTGGAAGTTGGAGTTACACAAGGCTCAGTCTTGGGACCATTAATGTTTTCACTATACATAAATGATTTACCACAACATATTAGCACTACTTCGATAGTTCTTTTTGCCGATGATACTTCTATTTCCGCAGAAGCCGACAGTCCTTTGGAACTTCAAGAAAAATTGAATGTAATAAGTCAAAATTTCTCAAAGTGGTGTCAAAGAAATAGACTTATGGTCANCAGACTGAGACCAACTTGTTCTTCAATGATATATTAATAGCAAGTCCTTACAGGGTCCATTTTTTGTCAATCACTTCAATAACTTGGTAATCCTCAATAAAAACACATTTCTCACTTACAGCAAATATCTGAAATGAGTTTATTGACGTAAAAGGGAGACAGGCCTCCTTAATATTCTAAGTGAAGTTAAGTTAGCAAACCAGCTAACGCCGCGCAGAAAGCTGAAGTAAAATCGTCAGGTACCTGCACAACGTCTTCCATTTGGAAGATTCGTAGCAAGTAACTTCCTATATATGAAAAGCAGAAATTAATTTATTTGGTCGGGACGACCGACCAAGCGTCTTCGTTTCATTCAGGTTGGAGCCCAGCTCCCTTACCCTTTTAGCTGATTTTTGTCGAAGAAGGACAAATGGGTTTATGACTGAGGAGACATCAGTACCGCCCTTCACGGAGTATCCCTACCTGGCTGGGGTGGGATGGATGAAAAATCTATTCGTCCGTTAACGGGGGACATGAGGGCCTCATTCGAGAGAGTGTCGGGGCCTTCCATATCGTGAGGGGTCGTCTACAGCATAATCTATATCTTCCCGGACTAAAAGAGTCGGGACGACCTGCACGTCGTCTTTCCCAAATTAATTCCAACTACTCATAAGCTCTATCTGCAGTTCATTCAGTAGGATGACCACTGCGCCACCTGCAGACAAAGTCTGGAACAACTCCACAAACACATACTCAGGAGTGGGAGTCAGAATGATAATTAAATATATTACGGAGAGGTGCATATGACATACTCAAGTTTAGGTGAAAATACCATCCCCTTGCCTCTCATGTGATCGACTTCCTAGGTACGTGTGGCAGATACCCGACGGAAAAATAAGAACTAATCCAGCTAATGCCGCGCAGAAAGCTGAAGTGAAACCATCAGGCACCTGTGCAACGTCTTCCATTTGGAAGATTCGTCACAAGTAACTTCATAGTCGTTAGTCCTTAGCTCGCACAAGTTTCTCAACTTCTGAGAGTTGTCGTTGGTATGGGGACGACAGCCGACTCACGGAAAAACAGATTTTAAACAGAATTTCATTTGGTCGGGACAACCATCGATAGACCTTTTTCTGTACCGGGAACATCGTTTCAGAACGAGTGAACCGTCTAAGTATCCCGAACAAACACGCCACCTGCAGAAAAGACTCCACAAACACATACTCCGAGGTGGGAGTCACAATGATAATTTAATGTCATCCGGAAAGGTGTCAATGACATGCTCAAGTTTAGGTAAAAACACCATCCACTAGTTTTAACCTACGACTTTTTAGGTACGTGTGGCAGATACCCGACGGAAAAACAACTAACCCAGCTAATACCGCGCAGATAGTTGAAGTAAAACCATCAGGCACCTGTGCAACGTAATCTAATTGGAAGATTCGTCGCAAGTAACTTCCTATAAATGAAAAGTCTATCGGTGGTCGGGACGACCACCGATAGACCAGTTTCGGAGAACTTGCTCCTCTCAGTACTGAGAAGGTCATTACAGACGAAGTGAAGTGTCTGAGTATCCCAAACAAACCAAATGAATTCCAACTAGGCATAAGCTCTATTTGCCGTTGATTCAGTAGGATATCCACTGCGCCAATTGCAGACAGAGTCCGGAAACAACTTCACAAACACATACTCCGGGGTGGGAGTCAGAATAATAAACATGAACTTGGGAATGTATTTATCACCTCTCCGGAAAGCTGTTTCAATAGTTCTGTACATTCTTATGAGTCTACCATAATATCTCAGAGAATACTTATTCGATATCGATTCGATTACATCAGAGGATTTTTGGGGTACCAAAATTAATCTTCTCCTCTCATCAAAAACAAATGTGAATACTCAAAATACACCCTCAAACATGTTATTTCTCATAATTACTGCATAAATAACACACCTCTTCAAACAACCACTCATCAATGGGATCTTGGTGTTACATTTGACCGTAAACTAAGTTTCTCCATACACTATGACACAATAACATGCTCAGCCAAACGGATGCTAGGGCTCATCTATCGTAACTGTAAGAACTTTCGTAGCAGAGACAGTTTTTAAATATTTTCAATGCATACGTCAAAACTCGGCTGGAAGATGCCTCTCTTATATGGTCACCCACATACACATAAACAAAATCGAGCCCATACAAAGAGGCTTCATGAAATATATTACTTAAAAGCTAGAAGGATGATGATGATGATTAATTAATCAATTGATTACAATAAAATAAATTTTTTTGAGCATATTTTTTAAATTATTTTCTTATAAATAGAAGTATTCTAACCTCTAGATAATCGTCAGATTATGAGACAGCACGTCTAGAACATGAAGATGAACCATATATATCGTAATCTGACGCGCTTGAGTTTTTCAAAATGGCGAATTTTTTTTTAACATTATAATAATGGCCACGAGTTTGCGTCAGATCGAAATCGCCAGATTATTGAATGAGAGCTTTTTTTGATGCACTTAACACCCCCTTAGAAAATCTGACGCGCTCGATTAAATTTTTTTCTTTTCACTTTAAACCGTTACGTACAACCACCCGCATCATGCAAAAGATCAGATTAACATACGAACATTATTAAAAATACGTAAGACATTGATGGTATCAATATCTGACGCGCTCGAGTCAGATATTGATGCAATGTTGCAATGAGCAAACTCTACAATCAACTCTGAGAAAATCTCGATATTTATTATGAACCTATTTGTCAAGATAAGAACCATGTTGAGAAACTTTTACACTCTAGTCAAAATACATAAACCTAACTTGAAAGTTACTCTACCATGTGAGCTTTTTACTACTACGGTAATATATACGGTAATATATATATATGATTAATATTCCGAAGAGGTGCATTGTGACATGCTCAGGGTTGCCCCTTTCCTCTCATGCAGACCTACGACTTTGTAAACCACCAACACTGACATAAAAAACTTGGCAAGTTGACTTGTGTGTCACACCAATAGGTGGTTCCACTTATGTTTCATTTGCGTTCACGCAGCTATTTTTATCAAGTACTTTCTTGGTTTTTCTCATTTTGTCTTCAATCGAGGATCGCCTGTCCGGTACTGACGATGCCCAATAGGCTGAAACAGCTGTCTATCGGTGGCTCTTAAATTGAAATAAATATGGGAAAGATCAAAAAGTACTTATCTATTTATTTTTTATTTTCATGGAATTATTTTCCAGCAGCTTGACTGGTTTAANTCACTTTTTTTAAAGATAGGCACTACTTTACTTATTTTAAAACAGCTAAACAGCTGAATCTATGAAGATATGTTTGAGATGAGTGTACTTACATAAAAAATAAAAAAATATCTCATCGAATGTACGTAGCCTGCAACATTTGAACATTCACCTTAGTTTTTGAACATACCTCATACACCAATAAGTACAATATACTAATAGAAATCAACCAGCAAAATAATTCTAATAACTGGAGTTAGTATTGATATGTAATTACCCAACTAACGAAAATTTGGCGAAAAATACCTGATATCTTGTCTGGTTTCATCAATAATCATACTGAAATGATTGTTCCATGAAGATTTACATCGTGAGGAATGCATGATTCAAATATAAATACATATATGCAAAAATTTACTTCAACAATAACTATAGGTATCATATTGTCCTTTTGCTTAAATTAGTATAACCAATCCCAACACATGTAAGTAAAACTTTTGCAGATCCATCACCACTATTTTCTTCATCTTCCTGTGGCTCAATCTTGAGGGTAACGCCAAAAAAGTCTTTAAGGTGTCTCAGAAACCATATGGAATACTCAGTGAGTGGTCCCGTTACTATTTTTGATACGTCTTTGTCTCCCAGGGCCATAAAGAGGATTGCTAAGGACTGCGAAATTGAGTTTATAACTCCACCAAAGTAAATTTCATAAAGTAAGCGATGAGCTACAGCAGTTCCCAAGTCTTCAGGAATAGAAGGATCATCCCCATTAGATACAACATTTGATACCTATAACATACAATAATTATACATGAAGATACCCTGGAATCTATCCCCTATACATCTTGTGATAATAGAAGATGCAAGAGTGGGTCAATTGAAATATGTTGAAGAAATGAAAAGCTCTTTGAGATTTTTGTCATCAATAATTGAGATCAAATCAATAAGATTTCTACTGTCAACAAAAAAGTCTGTCGAGTTTAGGTCTCGGCTTGCTTTATAGTGTTCTCGGTAGATATGGTTCGAAGGATTTTTTTAATCAGTTATTCATATATTTTGTCTCAATGTTGTCTCAATGTCAGAATATTGTTTAATCAGCTTCTCAAACTCTGCAAACTTCAAAAATGCATCAGATTTGTCTAATGGAAACACTTTTTCTAGATTTATTTCTTTCCTCACTCATTTTGCTAAACAAGTTAAGTAGTATCATCAAAACATTTGAACAAGTTAAAAACTTTCATACAGATTTTGCAACATTCTACATACAACTCAGGCCAATTCATTAATTTTTATAGGGTGGAGCTGAAGACTTCAACATTATGTTGGATATTTTATCATTTCTTATCAGTATATAAAATATAGGCGAAATGAATCTTAACAAGAATAGGAAAAACAGATAGGAAAGGAAAGAAACTCGCTAGTAAAAAGAAAAATTGAGCAAAATGTATTCATAGGTTGTTATAATTATGAAATTAGGGTGAAGCATTTTCATCAGAATCGTTTTTATTTTGTTTCACAGTTTCATTATTTCACTACTAAAAGGAGTAAAAAATGATGAACCACCCATTTAACTTAACTCAACTTACCTGCTCTGCTGAAAAAGTAAATCCTTTAGTAGTTTCTGCTACTAGATGAATACCGAAGCCTGGGCTTTTTCCTGACTGTTTACCTCTACACTGATCTGTATTTATATAAACATCTGGTATGAAGTTCAGTAGGACCCCTTTTGCTTTATCTACCATCCTATTGGAAATAGCTGGAGAGACTCTTAGGGCATATGAAGTTCCCCGAATTCTTTTAATCATACCACAATCCAACAGTTGCGCAGGCCGAGTCTGTTTTCGTATTGGACATTTAAAAATTACTTCCCCTCCACCCAGAGGCATCAATCCTAAAAAACAATTGGATTTTTCAAACTATTTTTTATAAAAATAATAGTTTTTAGTTCCCTTCAGATAAGTTATCGAACTACCAAGTCAAATTCTTGAAAATTTTTCTCATGGCGACTGGTTTTCTGATACAAAGTAATGAATTAAAATGTTTTTGCAAACAAGCTATTTTATATACCAAGTGGTAATTAACAACTTCGTGTTTGGTTCGTCATTATTACTATCAAATCAATAGATTTTCTACTGTCAACAAAAAGGTTTCTTGAGTAGTGTATGGAGTATTTTGATATTATTTTCAGAATACTGTTTTATCAACTTCTCAAACTCCGCAAACTTCAAAAATATATCAGATTTGTCTAATGAAAACATTTTTTCCAGAACTATTTCTTTCCCCAACTTATTCGTCAAAGTCGGACTAAATCTGCATGAAAAGGAATATTTTACAATACTTTTTGACAAAAAAGCCAATGGTGTGATATCACTTGCCACAGAGAGGACGCTATCAACTTTTTTTTCAAATAGAAAGGGGAAGTCTTGTGTCCCTTCGCACGAAAGGTATTTCAATTCTCTATACAATGTTTTTCATTTGGATAAACGGTTGTGAAGTTATTGGTATATGAATTGGAAACCGGAAAAAGTGATGATTCATAACTGCGATCAGAAGAGGACTGCAACGGCTACGAAGTTTTCTACATTTTTTGTATATACCTTTCTTCTCCAAAATTAATTATCACAGGTTACACAAAGTTTGTAATGTATAAGAAAAACAAATTGTTCACGGAAATAAATTACATTTGGAGTAAAATTGAACCAAAATATTCGCCAAAAAAGCATTTGTTTTATTTCCGATCTAGGATTTTTTGTGAATGAACTGCATTACCCTAGTAACAGAGAGTATTGTGTTAGTTTGGTAGCTGTCACTATTGATACTAAGAATTCGCTTCTCATTTCATTTTGTTCTTTAGGGAAAAAACATAAGCAATCCTTATTTACGGCGAGACTGACCGTAACTTTCATGAGGCAGAAAGAGTGTTCAATGCAAAATTTTTCGAGATCCGATCTGCTGTAAATATCTCAGGGAATTGGTTGAAAAATTTTTCCAACATCAAAAAACTATCTGTTCACTGGGAATGTAGCTAGAGGAGCTGAAAAAATCTATCTTGGAGATATATTTTCAGTAAAACTTTGACACTCCGTTATTCGGAAACGAAGCAAACTAGGAAACACACTCATATGCACTTTTTTCCATAAAACAAGACAAGTAATCACTACCTGAAATTAATGACATCATTCAAGATACACCCTGTATAGAACCAATATTTCATCAAAAACAAAACAACAATAACAAGTGTTTTACATTATTTGTGAACATACCTCTTCGGTTGATCTTCAAATCCAAATCTTCATCATCCAGTATGAATTTCCTGACCGTATTGAGCATAGATGATTTTATGGCATCAACAGAAGGGTCTATATTGTTAGAAGTAATGCCCCTCAATGTAGCAACTAAAGGTTGTTTGCAGAATAAACCTAGCATAACCAATGCTTCTAAATAATATCCTGAAAACATATAAATTTAGTTAGGAATCATAACAATACCATTTCTCTGGTGTGATCACTTGGATTCCCTCCCCATGTAAAACAATTTGTCAAAAAATCTCGACCCAGGGCACTCTTGAGAAGGAAATAATAAACTGATCCAATAAATTTTAGCATTTTAGTCACAGGTATTCTGGGTACAACTCAAGCAACGCTGCTTGACAATGTCAAGTTGGCACTTTAATTTTCAATGTCTACATTTTGGATTAAATTGATATTGTGTGAAAGATTTTTTACATAATAGTCCATAAATTGAAGATCTTAACAAAATACACGGGACAGATTTCGATTCTTGCACCATCTATCAGCATGTGTACAAAGTTAGGTCAATCTCATTTATCGCGTTGAGGGTTTTTGACAAAACAAACGTGAATCGGTTGTCTGGGTTTCATAAAACTAGTTTTTTTTATATCAAATAGTCATTTATTTTGTCATGGCTTATAAATTACTTGGTACAATCAGTACTAGAAGATCTACATCTATAATGAAGAAAAAATTCTGTGAATCCAAGTAAAAATCTTCTTGAAATTGTCGAATATCAAATGAAAAAAACAATAAAATATATTTGAAAAAAATTCATGTAGAACAGTGACAGTGGAAGAGTTACTTATATTATACGTTACCGAACCATATATTTGTATCAAAAGGGAAAAATACTAACCTACTCCTCTTTGCAAAGAGCAATCATGTTCTACAGCACCTCCATATAATAAACCTGGTTGAAAGTAAGCGGTTGTGCCAGTTTCGTTAAGTTCCACCACAGTTCCATTCGTTATCTTGTCCAATAGTCTGATCAAACTAATTTCATATTCTTTCAGGCCCGGTTCATCTTTCAAGGTTCTTATTTCAGATATATAAACTGGTTTACCACTTAACACAGACAAAATCAGTCTTTGCCTCAGAAAATTACTTCCCTTATAAAGTAAGATGTTACCCTTTTTAGATGACATATTTTTTAATCTTTATTTGGTTTTATGAATATCGTTAACAACTCTTTTAAGGTCAAAAAAGTTATTGTTTATGAACATAATCTTTCATTTCACGATATAACCAAAAATTGTCTCTTCTTCTTATTTTTCTATGTTTTGGCTTTAATTGTATTTGGCTATGGGCCAAAGAGTTTGTGTATTGAAAGTGACGTCATATCTGTCTATGTTGCAAATTTTGTGTATTGAAAGTGACGTCATATCTGTCTATGTTGCAAATTTTTCTGTATCAAACATAGTTGTGGAAAATGGAATAAAAAAGAAAGTTTTGGTTCTCTATTTTTACATCTTGATACAACAATGTTGGAATCTTACAAAGAAAGGAAGGAAGGAATCAATTTCAAGAATTATCTCTTTACAAAGATGTGTAGATCATGCAAAGAAGTAACTTTCAGACAAAAAATGGAAGACTGGGAATGTAGCTAGAGGAGCTGNTATACTTTACAAAGATGTGTAGATCATGCAAAGAAGTAACTTTCAGACAAAAAATGGAAGAAAAGTCATTTCGAAACAGCTGCTTCCATATAAACAATAAATAACACTAAAGAAAAATATTTTAGAAACGAATACTTTTATATGAGCACTGAACTATACAAAAAAAGACTTTTCTCTATTTAGTTTATATTTCAAATATTCATTATACAGGGTCCTGCAACAGTGGCGCGGTGTTCCATATCTCTATATAGGAAGCAGATAGGAATCTAATTTTCTATAATTGATCTTATTGATCGAGCTCGACAAAATAAAAATATTGGCGGTCACACAGGGTGTTCGATTTTTTCTGGGCGGATCCAAACTGTGTCTTTTTAAATGGCAACCTATATTTTTCATCGCTTTTTCGGTTTCTTCATAGAAAATAAAATAAACTTTATGTATATCTGCACTTCGAACTGTGTGACCGCCAATATTTTTATTTTGTCGAGCTCGAGCAATAAGGTAATATTATAGAAAATTAGATCCCTATCTACTTCCTATATAGAGATATGGAACACCGCGCCACTGTTGCAGGACCCTGTAGATTTGAATCAGATATCATTCACAAGATTGCTACACAATATAGTAAATGAAAGAGGTGAAATTTCACTTATACGGAACACTTTCATGAAACATTTCGATACAATTAAACAAGTCACTACATTAAAAGAGGTTGACTCCTCACTTATTTAAAGAAGGTTATTGAATCAATTTACAAAAAATCGATTAAGGACGGAACGCACCGCCGGAACTGGTAAAATAACCTCAGATGTCGAACCGATCTAAATGATAAAAAGAAGCAGCACTGCAGAAATGATAGGTTAATCAATCCTAATCCAAAAGTAAATGATTGAGCGTCACTATATATACGTTTCTATAAAAAAACCTACGGCCAGTAACGAAGTAGTTTTCTAATTAATTTTTATTTTTCTTCCTTGGAATTTGAATTTCTTTCACACGAACCGAGTACTTCATCTGAAGTGAATATCTTAAATACTAAAAGCATTCTGCTAGTGAAAACAGTCTTGTGAATTGTGCCTAATTTTAAATTACTGGTGACAATTTTTAGACTTCGGTGTTTGTATAAGGATACAAAAATGATGCGAAGACGAAGTAGAAGCCCATTGGGAGCTGAATCTTCATATAGAAGAGAGAGGAGTTTTAGTATGAGTTCTGTGAGTAGTTGTAGCTTCGAAAATGAACGGAAGACATACTTTTCCAGAAAAAACAGCGCATGTAATGAAAAAAGCCACACTGGATATGAAAATAAACATCGTGAGAGAAGACATAACAGACGTGAAAAAAATATTGGTGGTTTGTCAAAAGATAGACACAGACACAAAGAACAGGACGAGTCAAACAAAAGTCATTTGACAGGATTACACAAACCTAACATAAACAGTATGGAAGAGTCTTTGGATCCTTCTATCTGCCAATTTCGTGGCTCTTCATCTGGGAAGCAAGATGAAACTGAAGAAGACGATAGGAATATAAGTGCGAGTCGTTTGGATCGCTTGGAAAAAATGATGGAAGCAATTGTTCAAAACAAAAGTCAAGTCAATGTGAAACCTCCAATGGAACAAAGCGACCCAACCTTCTCGGGAGAATTAATTCCTAGAAATACCAACTTTACCACATCCATGTGGTTGAACAGAATCAGTGAAGAGTGCTTGGAAAGAAACTTTGATGAGAAAACTTGCATAAAATTTATAGAGAGTAAAATGACTGGAATAATCAAATCTTGGTATAAGACACTTGAATCCTATGACTATACTTGGCCAGAATTAAAGATGCTCATCACTAAATTGTTTCCTGATAATACTGAGTTTGCAGCCACTTTACGCTTACTTGTTAATAGAGTTAAGAAACCTGAGGAAACCATCACACAATACTATTTCTGCAAGATGTATTTGATAGAAGCCTGCAAGATATCTGGAGTTAATGCAGTGTCTTGTCTTATTGATGGACTAGTTAATCCCTTACTGCAGCAAGAAGCAAAGGCAAGCAGTTTTTTGACTCCAGAGTCTTTATACTCTCAATATTTTTGTAACCTTCAAAATTATGAAGTAGTGGAACACCATCTCGTGGAGGATGATCATGAAATGGTATCGAGGCCCATCCACCGAGAGATAACTTTAGTTGATAACTATCCTGAGATAGATGAATTTCAGTCAAATACCAGACCACCTCCAGTTGCTGACATGTATGCTTCCAAACAATGTTACACATGTGGTAGATACGGGCACATTGCAGAGATATGTCGTCATGCTCCATTATGTTACAACTGTGGTCTCAAAGGTCATATAGCTGCCAAGTGTATGAAAAAGAAATGAGTTGCTGAACTCAGTCATTTAGTTTGAGAAGTGCAGAAAGTTGATGTTATTTGATAGGAAAGGGTTCATCCAAATTTTGATTTGGTAAAAAATAATAGGGTTCAATAATATTTTTGTTTTGGTATATTATAGCCGTAAATGATCAGTGTTGAGATTTTGTATTTGCATAACTTGAGTTTGAAGTATGATACTTTGAAGGGAATCTTATGCTTATGCCTGAAAGTCATATTTTCCAATCTGTCTGAGTGAATACACTTGGGTCAATATAACCCAATTATGGCTTTTTCTGGTAATATTGTCGTTTCAATGGCTTTCAATTGTATTAGAATTTAAAAAGGCAATTTGTTTTATTCTGTGATCCAAATAATCTGACTTATACATTTATGACAAAAAATCTTTCTGGGATTTGTTATTTACTTTATGAGTTAACGTAACTATCTACTGAGTTGTCAGAATTATTGGAACTCATGTATTCCTATTTATATAATAGTAATTGACAGGTTATGTTTCATTATTTCAATATTTTTAGGATACAATTTGGAGAATTGTGTGGAATGAATTGTGCCTTTACTGAATTCAATAAGGTAGGATTCATTAAAGAATATTTTGGAAAATATAACTTTCATGTAATTGTTGAAAAATATATCAGCTCGAGCATCAGTTTTTCATGCTACCGCTATTTGAATGAACAATAAATTGATTCAAGTGAAAACTACTAATAAATGAAACAAACTAATTTTTCATAATCTTGTAGTGTTTGTGATTAGAGAAAGTTCAACTTTTCCTGATTGCTTAGTGAAAATTACATTCAAAAAACTCTAGCAAAAAAACTTCATTCAGTATTCTTTTTCAACCCAGTTTCAAACTAAATGAGTTGTGTGCAATACAGCCTAGCAAATTCATTACCTAAAAATTAATTATTGAAATATTGTTTATGGACAGTCATTACCTGGATTTTTTTAAAACTGTCAAGTGAATTTCATTTTGAGATGTCTATCTACTGCACCATGACTACACCTATTAATAAATGAGATTGCATCAATATATTTAGGCAATCTCATTTGAGAAAAATATTTTAATGATAATTGCTTGTTACAATTATGTTACTAATGAAATAGACATATAAAAATTATTAATTAATTGAATACATAGGATACAAGGAACAAAATGACAAGACACTCAGTTTATGGGAATTTGGAGCTATCTCATATTGGCTATTAGAGTATATTGTAACTTGATGAAATTTGGAATAATCATAGTAATTTTTATAAACTGTTTTCTTGGGTTTATAACCTTTTGCAAGCTGAAAAAATAAAAGCTAAATCAATAGACAATCTGCTAAAGTGTATTAAAAAACAAACTGAAAAGTTCACCCCAGAAAAGTTACTGCGTAATATAAACTACTGGAAAGTCCAATTAGTTGGTAACTTGATCCATACATTTTGTCTATAAATTGAAATAATTAAATATTGATACTTAGCTTTCTCCAGTGGTTAACGTTTTGGAAAACGGTCCTTTTCCATTTTTGAAAACTGTATTCACTATAAAAATCTTGCCTCAAACTGTGAACTTTTGACACAAGTCAAAAAATAGAAATGTCCAGATGTCACATACGACAGTCTACGTGAACACACATACTGGATGTTTTTTGATAATTCAGTTCAGTTAAGGTTCATATTTCCGTTTTCAACCTCTTTACTTGAAATACACTTGTTGCCTGCTAAAAGAATATATGCCGATTCTTTAAGTTTTATAATTTTTCCATGAGTTTCTTTAGTAATTTTTTGTTTCACTCCATTCTATACCATGATCACCAGATGATTTTAGAATATATTCTGCTAACCCCTATCTTGCCAGCTGCCTTATATATTCACAATGTTCATTTTTTCTCACATCTAGGGGTCTACTCAATGTAGAAGTTATTTTGGAGCTTCTGAAATTATGTACCGATAAAACTTTTCCAATTCAAGGAGGATTTTTATCAACAAGAATTTGAAATTGCAATGGGCTCACCTTTGTCACCGATTCTGAAAAAAATTTTCATGGAGCATTTTGAGGAAACATATATCGAAACTCACCAGAATGGTCCAAAGATATAGTGGAGATATGTTGATGATCTGATCACTATCTGGGACCATAACCCAGATAATATCAACGTTTTCTTGAATTATACTGCCTTATATATTCACAATGTTCATTTTTTCTCACATCTAGGGGTCTACTCACTGTAGAAGTTATTTTGGAGCTTCTGAAATTATGTACCGATAAAACTTTTCCAGTTCAAGGAGGATTTTT